ACTTTCTTCAGAACGGAGAGAAGTACACTTTAGACAAACTGCTCCCATCTCCACATTTTACACACAAAACCAAAAAAAACAACATATATCAGTTCATTGGGGTTCCCTGATGCTCACAGTCTGGTCATTTTTTGATAGGAGCCATCGTTTTGGAACAGGTGGCAAAATTGTGAGATATAATCCTCAATGCATTCTTAATGGGACTCTGTGCTGCAGCTGGTAAATCGTCATAAATCGTCACCATGGTAACCTTTCATCTCTGGGTTTACACCATAGACTGTATATATAAATGGACGTAGGGTCCGTGACGTCACCCATAGGATTCTGCAGAGTTGCCGAGAAGCCCTTAGTAGGCGGAGTCGGCCACTATACGCTCGTAACGGCTCGACAGTGGCGTCAGAGTTCCACTCCCGCCTGCTCCAGCCTGCTCCAAATAAGGGCAAAGAGGCGGAGCCGAGGCGGGACCTCCTGCCTCCGGGCTGGAAGTAACAGAGCTAGCTGAAGCTACCAAGCTAAGCTAACATGCTCACCATCTGCAGAGTTGCCGTCGCATTGTACGTTTCTAAGGTAAGCGGACATGAGACTATTCAGCAAAACTATAAATAGTAATCTAAGTTGAGTTTTTAGCATAATACTTCAGAATCTTTAAATCCCTTAACGTTTGTATGCAATGTGCTAAATTAAACACTGGAATCAAGCAAAATATTAATATGTTTGCATGACATTAGTTATTTATATTTTGCCATCACTTAATTATACGTGTAATACATTTAAGTTAAGCTAAGGTACATGTGATGATAGCTAGTTAGTGCTCTTACCTGTGAGGCCTCCTCCAAAAAGCATTATAACCAGACTGTATCATTAAAACTACAAGTACCAGTTCTAGATCCTTGACTTTAGACAAACAATTCAAAAGACAAAATGTATTTAAAGACCAATCTTTATTTGAAGGTGCCTCTTAACCTGAGATATTAGTTATACAGTAATAGTATTGACAATCTAAAAAAACTGAGCAACTCAACAGTCAACTTTATATTTCTTATTGTCTAAAGCATTTATTATTTTCATTTTTCCCCTCTCATATTCAGTGTGGACGGATTGAGACAGCGTGGTGTCCAGAGAGCTGCAGAGACTTCAGGGAGAAACCTCCGTGTGATGGACGTCCTGTCTGTTGGTTTGGAGAAGACTGAGGGTCTTTCCTCTGTGAGGAGGACCAGGCCTGATGGAGGAGCCCATGCATAGCTGATACCACCTGATCAGGCCTAGTCTATCACTTTATTTGACTAAATGTGTTTACTTATACATTTAATAGGTTTACACCTTCTGTCCATATGTGCTTTTTATTTAAAACATGTTTGATTAACTTTTGGTTCACATTTCAATAAATTGAATTTGTATTTGCACTCCTTTTGTCCATTATTCTTACTGAAAATGTTAGATTACACATTCACATCCGACTGAAGATTGGCCCCATTTATTTGCGTTGCAAACTCTGTGGTACAAGGTACATGTTGTGAAGCTCATAAAGTGAGGCAAATAGAAATAATCAGCTGATGGAGTGTAGATGTGGAAATAGGTGCATTCGATCAGCTGACTGTGTTTTCACAATAAAAATGGTTTCTTAGTGAATGTCCTGTACTGGTCTTAACATCTCATAACATCAGCTTTTCATTTTCCTATTGGATGTTTTTCTTGACCCTCGGAGAAAGAGGAGATGCTGAGTCGTGTCTTTCAGGCATGTCCTTTCCTAACAAAAATTACAGGAAACATAAAGCATATTATTGCAGAACAAGTGTGTTATTTATGAAAGAGGTGTGTTTGTGTTTAGGGGCTGTAGATATAATTATTTTGTAATTGTAATGTTTTTTTTTTATTTCAACAGTGAGCTACAAAGACAATCAGATTATGAATGAACAGTATGAAATTCATCAACATTGAAATGTATTTTATTATCAAAATAATATGTAACTGTTATTAAAACAAGCTTGCTCTGTTGTCTCACTGAAAGAATAACTTTTACTACGTTTTTACAGACAATATTGAGAGATAAATAGCAGTTGTCACTATGCGTTAAATATCTTTGCCTTCAATACCTTAAATTAGAAAGCTGACAGTCATATTGCTTGTTAACATCTAAATGTAACCCTTTGCATGGAAAGAACCCTCAACTTCACTGATGTGTAGGTGATCTAGTATTTAGTATTGTTTAATGGAATGTATAGCAGTGTATTAAAGTCAATACTTCATTTATTTAAACCAATATCTTTCTTGATTCTTTGTACAGTATGAAAAAAGAGTATTTGTACCTGTGCTGAAGTTCACTGCTGTGAGGAGTCCAGTTCTGTCTCTCACTCTCTGGTCCAGCCTGTCTGCATCACCTGGACACTTTAAACAAACAGATATATATGTAAAGAACCATGTGTACAAACAATATAACTTATTATCTTCTGTTGAACATGTTGGATTGTGTATTGTCCGAGTCAGGATGCTTATTATTTTACTGTAACTTTGGAAGTTGTGTTACCAATGCTTACTGTTTATTTGATACCAATTTGGTAATGCAATTAATAAAAACAACAAGGTTTGGGTTCGTTCTTCAGATGACTGTGACGTTAACGTGTAAGCTCAATAATGAACTCCAGCTCAACCAACCATATTGTGATATCTAAGTAATCATCTTGAAATATGACATTAATAATTGTAATATACACACATCTTATTGTGAGGTTGATTTCACATACACTACTTCGACGTTAGCTTGTCTACATACTTGAGCATAGCCAATTTAAATTAACCTAAGCGATGCATAAAGTTCCTACCTACATAATAAAATATCTCTCTAAGTTACAAGGATGACCTTATTTGATCAACCTCAAACAGAAGCCTTTTGTTCTACAGTATTATCCCACTTAACGCTTAACACTTGTCTATTTCGTTTTAACCTTTATATATACAGTCTATGGTTTTAAGTTAACGTAGCTGATTGAAATCATAAACACATAAATAAAGTACTCGAATTTCACTTACCGCAAAACGGCATTCATGCACCGTCTGTTTTAACCGCAGAGCGAGTCACAATAGTCCCATATATAAGCATGAAGAACAAACAAACACGGCCGGGATCAAGTTGTGTTCCCTGGATGAACTGGGCAGGCAGAGTCGCTGTAGCTTCACGGAGACGGAGCAGCTAGCAGAGAGACAAAAAGCTAACAGCAGCAGTCACCTGACAGAGCTGTCACTCAATGTGACCACGCCCTAATTTATGCAAAAACTTTAAGACCTAATATAAATAAAAGGGTCATGTTAGAAAACAATTCACTCACAGATCCATAATCATGAAGGTGGAATCTAACTATATACATAATAAAATGTATTGCAGCCAGGGCTAGAAACGTTTTTTTTCTGCTGTGAAATTGGGCATTTTAACATGGGGCTCTATGGAAATTGCTCCTTTCTGCAGTCATGCCTATCGGCCAATATATGAACTGCAGTTTGTGGCACTTCCGTATTGGCGTCCCGGCTCTTCCCCAGAGTTTGCCGCTTGGTTGACACACACAGGTGTTTGTAAACATTCGTCCACTACTACTTACATTTAATATCTAACTCCTTTAGCCTACTTTCAGCTATAAACCATTCAACTATTACATTATTCAGCTATTTCAGGACATTGGGGCTATACATGTAGTTGTTTACACCTTTTTTAAACCTTTTCTTTTAAATATTAAGCTTCTTCTCTATTTACTGCGAATGCTGTATGCTGTGCATTGAAACATCAAAGATATTCTGCTCTCACATGATGGGAAACTTTACATTTTTCAAAAAATATCTAGGTTTTTAAACTGTCTTTTTAGATGTTTAACTTGTGTTTATGTTAAATCCCGCTTATATAGCGTTTCATAGTTAGTTATCTATAGCAGTGAACCTCGACGTGCGATTTTCCGAGTTCCTTTGAACGCATCACCTGATCTTCTGTCTGAGACGAACTGTGCTGCGTCACTCTGCTGCTCCGTGTCTTTAATGGTGAGTGCTTCACATTACGTTTCTTCCATACAAGTATAAATGGGTTCCGCAACATTTTAACAGTAGAAATACAGGTGTGGCCCTTTACATGAACATTGAAGTTGGCAGCTAAACGAGGAGGGAAAACGTTTTCGTGGTCAACCAGAATAAAACTTGTATTGCTTGGTAACGGGAGCTAATGTTAGCTACGTGCTAACGCTAGCATAGCAGCTACAAACGTGTGCCGGTCAATTATCAAAAATCTACTTCTAAACAGGTTTTTTTCGAACAACGTATTTTTCAGCATCTCAAGTGACCCTCCTGACACTAATGTGGGAACTTTAATTTGTCAAAATGTTGTCAGAGTTATTATGAAGAACTAAAGTACTGTTAAACTTAGTTTTAAAAGCATTTACAGCTGTTGCTAAGTCACCGGTAGGTGGGGTGGGAGTCAGTCACGTTCCTAATATAAATACTTGTGTATTCATCTATACATTAAAATTAGTAATTGTATATATGACACAAGCGCCCACGGAGACCTGAGATAACAGCAATTTCTCTTCCATGTAACTAATGTAATGCTAATTTTGTAGTTGTAATTGCACATACGCACAGACGATAATTTATTTTAGACAATGACAAAATTGACATACATCCTCTTGACCCAAAACAAGACTAAATAATGAATGCATCAATCCCTGGGGAAGTAGGTTTGGTTAACGGTGTATATTCTGGCTTAAATCTTAGACCTAGATTAACACATGATGTATTTATTTGTGACTGTTTTATGATTTATTAACATTTATCTAAGAATAAGTGAAGTCCCTGGGAAATTCAACATTTGTAATAACACTTTGATAGTAAATAAGGAAACATACTGTGCTCCTGAAAAGTACTTCTAATTCAAATGGTGTGTAAAATTGTTTTATTGAGGTGAAATTTATAATCTGTCTCTCCCCCACCCCCTTCCCCCCCTCATCTTCTTCATGTCTCTATCTGCAGACTATTACTGTTGGCGACGTTGCAGACCTCAAGTGTAAGTACACAAATAAATAATAAATGCAACATTCTGCAATAAAACGACCAACTGTAATATGTGATTCTAATATCTAAATATAAACCATATTATATTTAAATGCTTTAAAAAATGTATTTGAGGTTGCTGTCACTGAATTTGAAATTAAAGTCATTGTATGTAACAGAATGTACACATACTATAGTTTCTCAGTCAAGTCATATTCCAGAACTAATACATTGCACTTTGATACCTTTTATATAATTGCAACTGTTTGCCCGAATTTAATGGGAAAACATTAGTTGGGCCACAGTTAAGTCCTTTGGAGAATAATTATGAATGAACCTTTTTGAAACCCATGAACCTGAACTATATATTTACTATTCTATGTGCTTTTGATAAGCAGCCACGTTTCATCTATTTTCAGATCCTGCTTAATTAACATTAATCTATTATCATTGATATTGTGTTTAATAATAATAATAATACATGGTATTTTTATAGTGCTTCTCAAGGGGCTCAAAGACGCTTTACATTAGATTACATGTTATTAGACACTTTTATAATATCTTTGTTGTGGACAAGAAAAGTATAACAATATCATTGACAATAGACGACCTAATCTAACCCTCTTCCTCCCCTTCTCTTTCCCTTTTCTAACTGCAGACCATCACTGTTGGTGACTCCTTGCAGACTGTAGTGTAAGTAAGCAAATTAATTGTATTTTTGCAATCAATCAACTTATATTTGATTGGTTTACAGTTAACAATAGATTCCCATCCTAAAAAAAGTTGTGTCAACAGTAATGACATCCATAAATTGCATTTGTATGGAATAATACTACTGATACCGGTTAGTAACAACCATGAATTAATGCTTTGACAAGTTTGCAGACAAGACGGCAGGAGAAAAACCTTTTAAAATGCTTGTTTTCTGAATGAAGATCGTGTCGACCAGGCTAAGTTAACGTTGTATATGCTCATTCCACACTCATAACAACGGCCTACAGACATAAATAAAGCAGCGACTGTATTCGCCATGACACAGGCAGTCTGTTGTTTGTACTTGTTTAACTTTTGTCCAGTTTCTGAACAGATATGAGGAGCTGTGAGCTCTGTGTGCTAACTGCTAACAGCTAACGGCTGATGTTTTCTGGTTGAACGTCAGTGACGGCGGCTGAGATCCTCACTGCTGATTGGCTTCCGCGAGAACGCGTCACGTGAATTTGACGCTCAAGTGGAAAAAATTGAACTCTTGCGTTTGACGCGGCACCGTTCAATCGCGTGATTTGCGCCGCGTCCACCGCTTCATGCTCGCCGTCAGAGCGAATTCACGTCTGTCGAGGTGGTCATTATTCAGGTTGACTCTATATATTATCCCTATTTTTTTAGTTAATAATCAGATTCAAAATATTGATTTAATAAATGATATTGCTTCTGCTAATACAAATAGCCACCTCACTGTGTTCAGACATAAACTATTTCCATTGCAGTAATTCATAATTGTCCAATTAAGTATTTAACCAATCAATGTAATAACCAACAATATATGTCCTACACATTTTTTTATTGAGATTGAATTATCCTGTGATACATTATATTTGTACTGTCTTTATTCAAAAAGATAACTAATAAATAAAATATATTTGCCTTTAATAACTGTCCTGTGTCTTAACATGCATGTGATTTAGTAATAAACAGTGGAAAGCAACATGAAAGTACATGAGCAGTTTTTTAACATTAGATAGGATTGCAATGCGCTGTGAGGTTGTTGTTTTTATGAACTCACACTAAACGTTTCTTTCTCTCTCCCTCAATCTGCTGGCTCCTCCTTCCTGTCTCCAACTGCTGACTGACATAGTTGAGAACGTTGTGGTGACCTGACAGTAAGTTGAGATTTATGAATGGAAATGTATTAAATGCAGCCGTTTCTTAAACACACTAAAGTGTCATTGTACTTAAATAGAGCCTTCTAAACCAGCCCTGCCTAACTGTTACATTTCCTGGCATTTATTTTTTCACATATAAATGTGGTCAGTGTATAATGTCATCATGTTTTTAGATTAGGTTCATGTGACCTTCAATGACCTTTGAGCTGAATTTACTTAATTTGTTTTCTTAAATCAAAACTGCTGTATAATATTTTCTTTCTGTGTTTCAGGTGCCCTGCTGTTGAGGAACTCTCTGGATTCTCTCTCTCTATCATAACCGCATTCTGTCTTTCCTATCCATCTACCTTGCTCTGTCTAATTTTTGGCTATTCTATCTGTTGTGTCCCTCAAGTTACCAGTACTTGATCTCTGCCACCAGGTTACAAGTACTTGGTGGTACGCTCTATCTATTTTTGGTATTTCTCTCTTGCTATCCCACTCTACAAGTGAAAAGTGCTTGATCTATCCCACTCTATCTATAAGAACCGCAAAACGATTTTATGAAAAAACTCTGGCACTGATTTTTGAAACAACTCTTGGCATTTTGGCTTTCAAGTTACCAGTACTTGATCTATCTGTTGAAAAGCAACTCTAAGAGTCTCTCTGCTCTTACGCTCTCTCTCTCTGTCTCTATCTCAAGTTACCAGTACTTGATCTATCTTTTGAAAAAGCAAATCTAAGAGTCTCTCTGCTCTTACGCTCTCTCTTTCTGTCTCTGTCAAATGAAAAGTGCTTGAACTCAACATTTAATTGTATCATTTTCACAACACATAAATTGTTGTACTAAGTGGATAGTTACAAATATATCCCTGTTCTTTTGAAACAATATACAAAGGTTATACGTTTATAATTTCAATCCATATTTATTTGATAAGAACTGTTGTTACTGCATTTTGTTACTGTAAACGTATCTAATTCCTAAAGGCTGTTTTAAGTTCAGAAATCGTCATATTTGATTTTTGCTGTATACGTTTACTTAACTAGTTAACATAATACGATATTGTATTTATTTTCTCTGATAAACGTAAACACACCCCAGGTATACAGTTCACACACTGTTTTAATCAGAAAATAAAGAGCTTTGTTGTCTAACTTGTCATATACTGCAATAAAACAACCAACTGAATTGTTTGATTATTTAAATATATTTATAAACCTGCAAATATTAAGGTGGTTTAGGAATTAAACAATAACATTTGTGGTATTGGAGAACAACAACAATGCCGAGGAAGAACAAAAAAGTCCCAAGTTCAAAGCCTGCGCTGGAAAAGATCTACAGATGTTCCCTGTGCAACAAGTGAAGCTGCAGAATGTTCTGGTCCTCTGAGCAGTGGAGAAGTGAAGGTGTGTCCAGTGTCTCATGCTGTAAGTGTACAACAGGGAGGTCAACACCATGCATCCTGTGAACCACAGACTTCTTATGCTGACATGGTAAAGAGGAGCCGTGACAGTGATGATCTTTGTGAGGCAGGCCCTTCTCATGCTAAACCGGTAAACCAGAGAGGTCAAGGTGATCAGCCATGTGTACCACAGCCATCTTACGCTGACATGCTAAAGAAGAGACGTCGAAGTGATGATCTTTGTGAGGAAGGCCCTTCTCATGCTAAACCGGTAAACCAGAGAGGTCAAGGTGATCAGCCATGTGTACCACAGCCATCTTACGCTGACATGCTAAAGAAGAGACGTCGAAGTGATGATCTTTGTGAGGCAGGCCCTTCTCATGCTATCCAGGTAAACCAGAGAGGTCAATGTGATCAGCCATGTGTACCACAGCCATCTTACGCTGACATGCTAAAGAAGAGACGTCGAAGTGATGATCTTTGTGAGGCAGGCCCTTCTCATGCTATCCAGGTAAACCAGAGAGGTCAATGTGATCAGCCATGTGTACCACAGCCATCTTACGCTGACATGCTAAAGAAGAGACGTCGAAGTGATGATCTTTGTGAGGCAGGCCCTTCTCATGCTAAACCGGTAAACCAGAGAGGTCAAGGTGATAAGCCATGTGTACCAAAGCCAACCTATGCAGATATTTTGAAGAGTGGACGTGTCCGTAAAGCTGCTTGTGAGGCATGGCCTTCTCATGGAGACTATGTAAACCTGGGAGATCAACTTTCTGAGCAACATGTCTCTGCATCGTGGAGCCAGGCTTCCCCTAAATATGGAAAATCCAGAAATAAGCAGTGCACCTGTAACTCACTAACATTTCTTGCATTCTTCCATGAGAATGAAAACATCACCAGAGCTGACATTGAACTTGTTTTGGATAAAGGTAACATGATGTATAATGAGGTGAGAAAAACAGTTAATCACATCCATTTGACCACTGATGAGCTGCCACATGAAGTTACTGCACGCAGGTTTACCCATTATGTGGACATGACACAACTTTCCAGGTATGGCACGTTAGGAGAACCTTTACATCCAACTGTAGATAGCTTTCTGGACCTTGAGTCAGGACTGAGCTGCTTGTTAACTGAGGTGCAGTTTGCTTTGTTGCTGATGACACAGTTGTGTATTGCAGTATTTAGAACCAGAACAGGCCGGTATGGTTTCTTTGACCCACACTCCAGGACTAGTAAAGGTTTGCCTCTTTCCCCAGATTCACTCACTCCTGGTACTGCTGTCGTGCTGACATTTACACGTCTCAGTGACATGATTGACAGGCTCATGAAGTTTCACAGAATGGTGGGCACACAGTTAAACTGTACCTATGAGTTAAAGCCTGTGGAGTTTTACGACAGAAACCCAGTCTCCCTGAATGATGCTGTCCTGAACACAGACTGCAGACCTACAGCTGTCACTGTTGATGCACCTGCTCTGCTGGATGAAGCTGCTGATGAATCAAGCTCACCTACTCTAAGGAGAAACACACCCACTGATAGTTCTGAGCACATTCTACCAGACAAGTCAACTCAAACCCCTGCTGTGAAACAACAAGAGGTCCATATCACATCTCCATCACATGATGCTCCACAGGTTGAATCAAAGTTGACTGATCAAGTGAAAATCCATGGTCTCAATGATCCTTCTGACAACATATTTAAAGGAGTATCTACCGAAATCACTTTCACATCATCTGTGAGACAACAGGAGGTATTACCTAACCTAATCCCTAATGCTCAAACTGAACCAGAACCTTTAAGTGAATTCAGTTTCCTTCCATCCCATGATGCCTCTCACAGTGTATCATACATCTCTTCTCCATTAAATGCTGCTGCCAGTAATCTGTCTGATACTGTATTGCAGAATATCTCTTGTAAATTGTCAAAGCTTAGTAAACAGCAAAGGAAAAAAATCAATAGAAGACTCATGGTCTCAGAAAAACCTAACAATAACAATACTGAAAGCAATGCTAAAAAAAAACTGAAGCAATGCCATTACTTTGCCAAGCGGTACAGAGATAATTTTGACTTTCAGCAGAAAAGAAAAAAATACATTACCAACTATTATAGAGACAATCCTGATTTTAGAGAGAAACAAAAGCAGTATTTCACCTCCCATTACAAAAACAATCCTGATTTTAGAGAGAAGCAAAAGCAGTATTTCACCTCCCGTTACAAAGGCAATCCTGATTTTAGAGAGAAACAAAAGCAGTATTTCACCTCCCGTTACAAAGGCAATCCTGATTTTAGAGAGAAACAAAAGCAGTATGTAACCTCCTATAACAAAGACAATGATGATTTGAGACAGAAAAAAAACCAGCGCTTTAACGACCGCTACAGAGACAATGCTGATTCAAGGCAGAAAAAGAAAGATAACTCTACTAATTGCTACAGAGACAATGATGATTATAGGGAGAGGAAGATATCTCATACTTTTCAGCGTTATGAACATGACGAACCATTCAGGGTAAGACACAGACAACTAATGAAAAAACTAATGAAAGACCGATATAAAAACAATCTTGCATATAAGATTATGCATAAGATGCGATGTGCCATGAAAATAACAAAGAAATACAGAATGATAAATAAACAAACTCAAGAAAGTGACAACAGTTTGATTGAGGAGGCCATATCTGTTTTCAGATTACATAAAAAGGCTGGTCCCACTTATATGTGCACTGTCTGTCATAAAGCATCTTTTCCAAACCAAGTGAAACCCTGTAATAGGTCAAATTACCTCACAAATCCAGTTGTGGTTGCAGCATGCCTGACAGGAAAGTATGTTCATGTTTGTAATGATGTCTGCAGAAATGAACAACAATGCAAGGTGCCTGATGAGAGAAGGAGAGAGTGGATTTGTTCCACCTGCCATGATCATCTTAAAAAAGGAGTAATACCATCCCTCGCTGAAGCCAATCATTTGGAGCTTGCTGATATTCCACCTGAACTGTCTGATCTCAACATATTAGAGAGGCATCTTATAGCCAAGTGCATAACGTTTGCCAAAATCATTCCTCTTCCCAAAGGACGACAGAGACTAATACGTGGTAATGTGGTGTGTGTCCCATCTGAGGTACAGGAAACAGTTGAAGTGTTACCAAGACTGAGAAGCCAGTCTCAAGTCATGAGAGTAAAGTTTAAGAGAAGGTTATGTTACAAAGGCCATCAACTGTTCCAGACTGTGACCTGGTCTAAACTAGTGCAGGCACTGCATAAACTCAAACACATTCACCCACAGTACAAGGACATAACCATCAGAGATGACGCTGAATTATGTGACCCAACACTTCCTGATGATGATGATGAGCATGCATCAATGGATGAGGTTGATTATGATGAAGCTGATTTGATGGAAATTGACATGTGTGAGAAAAGTGCACTTTGTGAGGCAGAAAATGAGCAGGATATTGACATGTTGCCCTGTGATGGTGAGAAAGCAGACGAGCAGAGAGATGATGAAGAACAGGAAGGTGACATGCCTAATGGTGGATTTGCTTTGGAGTCATGCCTTCAACCATGTGATGTTTCAGAGGAGATATTGTGTTTTAATGAAGGAATCTATTCTGTTGCCCCAGCAGAAAGAAACAGTCCAGTTAGTTTTTTCAAAACACCTAAACTAGAGGCCATGGCTTTCCCTGTACAGTTTCCTACAGGTCAGAACACACTGGATGAAATGAGATGTATCAAACTATCACCCAGCAGTTATTTCAAAGCACGCCTGTTCTGTGTTGATGATCGTTTTGCAAGAGACACAAATTACTTATTCTTTGCACAGTTTGTCACAGAAATACACCTGGCTACTTCCAGCATGACAGTACAGTTAAGGAAAGGCAAGCCTTTTACGAGAGATGGACGACCAATCACTTCTGGTATGTTGCAAGATAAACGAGAGGTTGAGAAACTGATCCGAAATAAAGATGCAGTGAGATTCATGCAGCCACTGAGAGGAACACCAGCCTATTGGAAGAAAACCACAAAAGATCTTTTTGCCATGATCAGACAGTTGGGAACTCCTACATTCTTCTGTACATTTTCTGCAGCTGAAATGCGTTGGCCTGAAGTGATTGAAGCAATAAAAAGGCAGCAAGGTGAAGATGTCGATTTTGAAGGACTTGACTGGTCAGCAAAGTGTGACATACTGCGAAGCAATCCTGTGACAACAATGCGCATGTTTGATAAGCGTGTTGAGGCGTTATTCAGAGATTTGATCTTATCTCCTGCACAACCCCTTGGAAAAGTTGTTGACTACTTTTCCAGAGTTGAGTTTCAGCACAGAGGAAGCCCACACATACACTGTCTCCTATGGGTAGAAGGTGCACCTGTGTTTGATGACGATGATGATGAAACTGTTGTGAATTTTGTGTCCAAGTACATCTCAGCTATGCGGCCTGATCCACATACACAACCTGAACTGTACAAGAAAGTTACAGAAGTGCAAATGCATAGCAAAAACCATTCAAAGACATGTTTCAAAAGCCTCAGCTCTGGATGCAGATTTGGATTCCCTAAACCACCTGTCCCAACCACAATGATAACGAGACCTGGAGAGAATGTTGATCCACAGCAAGTGGCTCTAGCAAAGGAAAAGCTCAAACCACTGAACTTGTTGTTGAAGGAACCTGAAACTGCTTCTCTCAGTTTGCTGCAGCTCTTGGCTAAATGCAATTTAACCCTCAGTGAGTAC